GGGGGGGGTGTGGAGCGCTGATGAGCAGGGGTATAAGGGTACCATATCTGGCTGGGTCACAAGGGGTTCATAACACTTTTTAAAAAATGTGTTCGGGGGCAATGGAGCAAATTATATTCGATTGGTTGATTGAGATGTGGAATATTTCTTGACGGCATGGCGGAGGAGTCATGGTGAAGCTTCTGCCATAACCAGAGTGCCTGACAGTAACAGGGCAGCAGTGATAAATAACCAAGGAGCTGGTTGTTTTCCCTTTATCAGCACATTGTTCTAAACCGTATGAATAAACCACGTGTCCCCTTCTAAATAAGCCATCCTGCAGTTACACTTTTTCATTTTGTACTTTGATGATCGTTTGGAAGTGTGGTAAATGGCTTTATTTATATCGATCTCTTCCTGGGGGGCCTGAAATACAGGTATTCTTTCCTGTGAAGAAGTTGTGCAACAAATGCAGTTACTTGGGTAGTTTTGTGGGGCGGATTTTACTGATCGGAACATCCGGTGGTTTATGTGGACAGGCAGGGGAGCATCCCCCCCCCCCCCCCACCAAAGAATGCTACCAGTATGTGAGACTGGGAGCCTGAGGGCGCTGCACTGGCTGACCGCACTTTGGGCAGGCGAGCTCAGCGACGGTTGGCGATCGCCACGTACAGTACCCACCCCGTGGCCGATGTCGCCGAATTCGCAGGGCGCCGCGAGAAAGACGCCAGGCTTATTTGCTTCAGACTGACAAGTGTCTCTGAACCAAGAAAAGACCAGTACTCTGCCGTTCTTTAGCCCATTTTAACATTTTTTTTGAAGCTACATGTGAACACGGACTCGAGTGCTACAGAGGGTTGTGTAAAGTCACGTCATCCTTAAAACAACAGCACACACAGATGCACGTACAAACACAGGCACACAAACAATCTCCATGTTGGGTCTGCGAATGGGCAGGAAGGCAAGATTAGGTTTAAGCCCCATATTTTTGAAATGATGGTGGACCTGCTGTCCCCAGATCAGGCACCAGATGGCGCAGTGCTGGTGGAGCCAGCAGATAATTAATCGAGACAGATCGGGTAGCATTACTTCCTATTATCTTCTAATTACTCTTCAGCGATGCGCTTATCCTTAAGTTTCTGTAAAATGATGGCACGGTGAGCCTCCGTTAGCCGTGTGGAAGGAGCCAGTTATCTTGGCTCAGCATTCTATCTGAAGGAAAGGATTACTCTCCTTCTCTTCGGGGAGAGTATAAATTTGTGCTGAGATGGGGTTGCAGACTGGTGGGTGTCAAAGGTTTTCTACACTGGAAATCCTCTCCTGAAACGGGCATGATTCTTAGACGACATGTTGCTACGGGTGCCATGATACCAGACCATGACCGGGTCTCAGTGTTTTAATGCCGAACACTGAGGCTGGGCCAGAACCCTTTGCTCTCTCAGCCCGATCCGGTGTGAGTGCCTGTTTCTTGGATTACATACGCAAGATTCTTGGAGACGTTGCGCCCGGGAAGGCGGCCACGACGGGTAGCAGCACGCCTATGGACCAGCAGGATGGCCTGAACGGGAGGCTGACGTGATTTCACACACGGACACGTCTCCCATCGGCCCTGCAAGTTTATGAGCTGCGCAGCCATGGTGTGCCGATGCAAATGAGAAAGGCTAAATGCCACTGAGGGAGTAGGAGGGGTGAACGCCTGAGCCATCTGACACAGCATCAGCTGCAAGGCAGAGGCCCTGGCCGCCGATGATGTTATGCACCTCCCCGAAGGTTTTAACGTATGACCCTGGTGAAGGCAGACCAATCAGAGGTCAGGAATGAATGCTAACCATATTAGCATCATTAACAAGTGGCAGCAGTTCAGAACCAAAAATAAATAAATAAAATTGTATTATTATTTCGGGTCCGCCTTGCTTAAATGAGGAGCTAGTGCAAGGGTGTCAGTCTGCGTCTGTGTGTGGGAGAGAACAGGGGAAGTGATGTAACAGAGAGATGAACCCTGGGGTCAGATCAGCTAATCTCAGCAACTCCGAAAATCCGAAAAGCACACAAGACCAGAATGGTATAAAAGCTCAGAAGAAATGAAAGAGAGGTGGGAGAAAAGGAAAGAGAGAGACGGGGAGATCATGATGCAAGGGATGATTATGCCCCCTCATTTTCGCACGCTTTGTGACTGTGTGAACAATCTGCTCCGGCTGACCCATCCAGGGACTCCCCCAAAAACAGCTCTATTCTCCTGGTGGGCCTCCGTTTTCTGAGGAGGTCTCTGGCTGGTTAATTAAAGCACAATAAAGAAACAGGTCATCAGTAAATGAGAGCATAATGGACCTTTTGGTTTACATAATCTCCTTTTTGTATGATGAGCGTTTGCTTTTCTCCCTCTGTTTTTCCTCTTCTTTTCAGTCCCTTTTCTGAAACCAAAACAGCACAAAAATGGCAGAAGAAGAAGACTGTTTTGCTAGTGGTCACCACATTTTTTAGGCGTCCCCTAGATGTTGCAGAAGCAGGAGTCCAGGTTGAAATAACAACAGGAGTTAGGGTTGGAAAAATATGTATGGGACCACAGACCTGGAATGATTGTGCTTTCACAGCCATGTTCACCAGGATCTTGACTTAGGACTGAGACGGTGAAGGCAGATGAGCAGTTCTTGGCCACCAGATTCCCATCCTGGAGGTACTATGGCGACATGGAGTCTTGCTGAGTTCTGGGAGAATCTCCCTGGGACTGCAGCACTCTGAGGGTCTCCAGGCCCCATGGCACAATGCAAGGGTCACATAGCTGAGTGACACCCGAGCAGCTGTGCAGACAAGCTGCATAGCGCTCTGTCCTGTGATGTAATTCTGACATTCTGGAATCCAACGTATCAATTGCAAAAAAAAAAAAAAAAAACAGAGAATCATGCTTGAAGACCTGAAGTCTTGGTTCTTTAATGGTACAACTGCTTACACCACATAAATAAAGAACACAAAAGCATGCCTTCTGACAAAACAGGCAATCATCCTTCCCCCGTTTCATCTTTATCTATGGATCGTACAAGACGACATGAAGAGAGCTGGTGGCAGGCGTGAGCACAGAGCCTCGCGACTGACATCCAGGCTGTGCTCCTCCGTGTTCCGTCACTCATTAAACGGGATTCCAGATCAAAGGTGCATTCTTTAGTATTCAGGTAATGCTGCGTAGCTCACATTCCCAGTCCTCGTGTGTCATCCTCGCTCTCTTTTGATTTTCACTTTCCACCATCGCCGTGGTGACTCCCCCTTTCCAAAACATCCAGCTAGAATCGAGGTTTGATACGGGGACAGAGGGAAGCAGCACCTAGTCTGGGTCTCTGGACCATCCCGCTGGAGCACGTGGAGAGGAAGATGGCTAGGAATTAGAAAGGCATCATTTAATCCATACCAGGTCCCCATCAGTCATTTTTGCGGCAATGACTCATGATGGAAATCTAATTTGACACGGCATAGCTAGATACTGGAGCCTGTTGCCTTAACGTTGCATTAACTGCAGTTACATAAATGTCCTTTCATGTTTAGCCACTTGGAAGAGGCCTGTATATAAGACGCTGGTAAGTCATCGAGTGCTTGATTGCTCTTTGTTTTCCGCTTCTTGTCTGCAGCCAGCTTTAGGAAGGACGGCGTGGAAAGGTCTGTCGCTGCCAGGCCCTGACTTCATGTACGGGTCCATGCCTGTCGTCCATGATGGCGGCGTCGCCGAAGGTGAGAGTCCTATTCTCCGTTAATTACGCCGCTCGGCTGAGGAGACAGACCAGCCTGTAATCAAAGCCGGGGGCCTTCCTCTGCTCTCCTCTGTGAGCCTCATTAGAAACATAATTTAAGCGTAACGGTGGAGTGATAGGGATGAGTCCCGTGCTTCATTTTAAACCGCCGTGTCACTTCCTGTTATTTCCCTCAGGCAGCTGCCCCTTGCCTGCGGCTCCTCGACTCAGATGAACCGCATTTGGCTGCTGGGCGTTTTCGCTCAGCTCCTCTCTCCGCTGTTTTAATTATGCACCTCTAACAACCGACAAACATTGAAAATGTCAAGCTTTCCCCTGAACCCCCGTGAGCTCGTGTGGCTGTGCCAACCAGACCCAGTGGGAATGTTTCTAGAGTAGGATGAACTGTCAGTTGTGAGCCTCTCTAACTGTTTAAACATCCTGCTTCCTCAAGTTAAACCCCCCTCAGATCTGTCACTACTTACTTGAGAGACGAAAAGAAACAACTCAGGATCCATTCTTGCTTTTTTAAAAAAGGTTGGACTTCAATAATTGTGACAAGAATGACAAATGCTACGAGCAGCGGCAGTATTAATGAGCCCGGGAGAGTTACACCTCCGTGTTCTCAAAGGGATGGAAATCGAAGGGAGAGGCAGAAAAAAACTGTGTGGAACCTTTCCAGAGATGTCATTGTTCTACAGCTGATAAAAACTTGCAGATGCAGACTTGAATCTTGCAGTGGCCACATTTTTCTTCAAACCACAAAATTATTTAAGTCCCTCACCAAGCGATTTGTCAGTTGAATGATGGCGTGGTGTGTCACTTTACAGAGTTCTGTCACTGGGTTGTGTGTCGACGCGTCACTGATGCAGTGGATGTGGATGTCCTGCAGTCCAGGCACGTTGCTGTCGGTTAACCATCCAGTGTGTGTCTACCCTCCTCTCTGCTGCAGCCATCTCCCACTGGCACCTGCCCCCTCCTCCCAGCACTGGCTCTCTTGTCCACCGTAGAAGAGTGGAGAAGGATTTCGTGGCCCTGAACCGGGAGGGGGTCAAGTCTGGCTTGGTGACAGCCAAAGAGCATCACCAGTACCGCGCCACGCATGACATCCGACTCGCCCCGTCCAAGGGAGGTTCCCGTACCTCAGCGCCCCCACGGCTTCCCCCGGACATGACCTTCGGCGTTGCCACGCGGTGAGCGGCCCCCTGAACTGGACTACATCCCCCCCCCCCCCCACAGCACACTGCCTCGCTGCCGCCGTGTCTTTACTCTGTTCGCTCCTCTCCACTGCTGCTCTCCTCACAAACGAGCAACAACCTGCAAAGGAATAACACTTCATTCACGTCAAAAGTCAGAACGTTAACTATAAATATTAAAATAGGCACAATTATGTGATGCATGTGTACCAAAGTAATATTGACGAACTATGGGCGTAAATTATTAAAACTGGTCAATACAACCCTCTGGACCCCCTGAAATGGGAAGAGACCTCAGCCCACCCCCCCACCATGCTCAACTCAACTCAAAGTTATGCCCTTGTGACCGACGCTTAAAGGTCACATGACTCGATATCCGCCCTATCTGCCTGTTAATACACATGCAGTATACTCACAGTTCCCATATAGATACTTAACACAAGCTTTCGCATGTCGGTCTCCGGGATGGTCTCTCTCAGTTTGGCGACAGGGGAGATGTTATTTTTAGGTATAAAGACAGGAGCCTTTATTGAAACAATATCACAACTTCAGAGGCACGAATAAATGGCCCCACTTACTCAGTTTGACTCACCAGGGGGTGCGCTATTAGTGTACGCTGGAGGCAGGGAAGCAGAGAGAATGGCCGTTAACTGCTAATGTTTTAGAAAGTACCGTTAGCACTTAGCAGAATGAGTGTCAGCGTTTAGTGTAGCAGAACGTGAGGCGCCGCTAGATCGCCGCGTTCATACCGGACGCCTCAGCTGATTATAAACGGCACGGGGTGTTAGTGTAGACTCTGCTTGTGTTCATAGGCACCATTGACGATGCTCTTCTCCATTAGCCAGGCCTCTTGGAGCCATGACAGTGAGAATCAGCAGACTGCCATCAAAAGGCTTTGAGTGTCTGACACCGTGCACAGAAGCAGGGGCTCACAGCACACGCCCAGGCTATGCCCCGCAACACCAGCTTAATGAGAAATCATCTGCAATGAGAAAAAATCACACTTATTTATATCACACCTAAAATACGGGCACCCACGTTCTCGTGAAACACCTGTAAATGCCAAACACCGCCATTCAAGATGAGGCACGGTGCGGGTATGTGATTCTATCTGGTGGCAGAAGACAGTGGTCCATCCTACCCAGGGAGTGTGTCCCTTTTACTGGGCGTGGGTGGGGGGGGGGGGGTTATGGTTATGGTAAAGGTTGGGGGTGGCATGAGTAACCCAGTAGCAGAGAAGCAACTTCAGCACAGATGAAAGAGGATGCCTGTTTAATACAACCTTCTCCACTTCCACGGAGGTGCCACAGGAGCGCCGGTCTGCATCACGGTCATGTCCCTGTCCCCCCCAGTACACACCACCCTCCTCCCTCTCCCTCCCTTTCCCCCCCCCTTCCCATCCAGCCATTGACACTGTTCAAAACGGAGCTGAATGACTTCGCCAATAACGCCCCCGTGTGCCATTGCTCTCCTTCCACACCTGTGTGTTTTTCTCTCACCGCTCCCGTCGTCCCCTTCCACGCCCCCCCCCCTCCCTGTCAGGAATAGATTTATCCTGTCGGTGACGCGTGCCGAGTGCGGCTGTGTGAGAGTGCAGGTACAGGGTCAGGAGAGGGGGGGGGGTGTACAATATAAGATAAGATCATGGCTCCCCGGGGGCTTGTTTGGCCCTGCACCCTATCCATCAAACACCGGCTCGCCGTGCCAAGGTCAGCCCTAATGAGCTTGTGCTGGGGTGTAGCTCTCAGTGCGCCCCCCCACCCCCCACCCCCCGCACGCCGCCGCCACAGAGACACACAGGCACACGCCCGGGCCCGCGAGCGCCCACACGCGTGTTCACGTGTTTCATGTGCAAGCAGACAGACAAAAACTGTTTGTGACGGTAATTTGATGTCACTGCACACGTGTAATAAAATGCACAACTGATTGGATGTGCTGGTCTTCCCCATCGGCCGCGTGGGATCATGCACTCAGTGCCCTTTCCATGTTTACTCACATCAGGGGGCTTCGCCACATAAATACATATATTCACATATAAATACAGCAGTACTGTAAGCTGGGGGGGGGAGTGAGGTGCCAAGGGGGCTGCTCCTTGACTCTGTTTTACCCTGAATCGCTTTTCTGTCCAGTTGGCATTAGTATGTCTGAGGGCCAGGTGAAGGGGGCTCCGGCATGCAGACGGGCCAGGACCAGTGGCCTGGTTCCTGTAGCTCTGCAGTCCGGGATGCGGACGGGCCGGGACCAGTGGCCTGGTTCCTGTAGCTCTGCAGTCCGGGATGCGGACGGGCCGGGACCAGTGGCCTGGTTCCTGTAGCTCTGCAGTCCGGGATGTGGACGGGCGCCCCCCCCACATCAGCGCTGTCCGATCTCATTAGGGTTTGCTGGCTGCCGGGTGGGGCGTGTGCTCAGGCATGTGGAGTGTACTAATGAAGCAATAAAAGTCACTGTAGGTGGGGGCTTGGAGGAGGGGGGGGTCACGGGCTCACATCCCCGACACGCAAGTGATGAGGCAGGTGATAATTGAGACGTCCCAGGCCCACATCTTTCCCGTGTACCATGCCGATTAGCGAGCGGGCAGTATGCGGACTCCCAGCCCCGCCTGTACGCGGTGTGTGCCCAGAGTCAGAGCCCAGAGTCAGGGCCCAGAGTCAGGGCCCAGAGTCAGAGCCCAGAGTCCGAGCTCAGAGTCAGAGCCCAGAGTCAGGGCCAGTGCCAGTAACCCGGGTCCCTCTGCTCCTTTCCAGCCCCTCCACCCCCATCTCGGAGCTCTTGGAGCACAGGTACGCTCAGGTCTGGCTGGAGGAGCAGCAGGCTAAGGACAGGAGCCTTCTAGAACGTCGGAAGAAGGTGAGAGGATCAAAGGAGGCATAGACTGAGAAATATGTGACTCAGAACACGCTCTGTTATTATTATTATTATTATTGCTGTTGTTAGTGTTTCTGCTATTATTATGCTTGTTATTTTTGGTATTATTATATTTATTTAATACAGATGCTCTAATCTTAAGTGAGCTGACAGGGGACTTAATCAACCCTGAGAATGAGGGGGCAGCAGAAAGCATGACTGGGCATGTCTTGGGAATGATGGGCGGTAGCCTTTGTATTATCGCATGCTATCGCCAGCCACCTTCAGCTGTTTTAAGAGTGTGAATGTGTAAGCCGAGGTGAAAGACTGGCCGACTGAGGCGGGATGGTTATAGCCCGCCTGCCCATCATGCTTGGTGTGGCGGTCTGGGTTGTTTCCACAGAGACAGCTGGGCCATATCCCAGAGACATGCACGACCCTGCTCAGGAAGTGTCAGCCCGTGGAGGAGCCGGCACCCTTGTGGAAACTGCCCCGCTTCCAGAAGGTAAGGAAAGGCCAGACAGACAGACAGGCAGGCAGACAGACAGGGTGGCAGAAACAGACAGGCAGATAGACAGGGAGATAGGGTGATAGAGACTGACAGACAGGCAGACAGACAGGGTGACAGAGATAGACAGGCAGACACAGATAGACAGGGTGACAAATACAGACAGACAGACAGATGGGGTGACAGAGACAGACAGAAAGGCAGACACAGATAGACAAACAGACAGACAGGGCGACAGAGACAAACACATAGACAGGGTGATAGAAACAGACAGACAGGCAGACAGGGTGACAGAGACAGACAGGCAGACACAGATAGACAGACGGACAGACCGAGAAGGTGACAGAGCCAGACAGACAGGGTGACAGATGGATGGATGATATTGGCTGAATGAAATAGCATTCATCAAAGAAGCCATGTTGGAGGTATTATTTCGATCAAGATAATGACGCCATTAAGGATGGCTCCTTTTAGGAACGACAGAATGCCTTCCCAGGCAGTGGAAGATCATGCCTTACATCCCTCTTAAGTCTGAGAGCTGATTTATTACTGTCATGTTTTCCCCCCACCATAATGGCCCCTTAGAGTTTGGGTGGGTGGGTGTGTGGGGCAGGGGGGGTCACCCCAGCACAGTCTGACAGCTTGTGTGGGTCTCCCTGTAGCAGCTGGAGGAGGTCTTAGCTGACCTACCCCCATCGCTTCTAAAGAATCCCGCTAGCCTGGCCAGGAATGTGTCAGGCAGGCCGCCGCTCGTCAGGCAGGCCGCCCCTCGTCAGGCAGGCCGCCCCTGCGACCTTCCCTGACTTCTGCTTCTCCATCATCCATTTCTGATTTTGCTTGTGACATCGGCTAGCATGACATCTCCCTGCTTGAGCATTTCCAGCTATGGATGCTTTAAGTACACCTGGGGGGGGGGGGGGAGGAGGTTCCTGTCCCTTGTCACGCACGGCCCACATTGTTAGCTGCCTGTTTTGGTCTGGCCCATGGGCACCTTAACGCTCTGGCCCCGTGACGCAGGGCATACAAATTAAAAGTTTCCTTCCCGCTGAGCGATCGATGCGGCTCCGTGCTTGAGTGGCTCTCGTGCGGCGGCAAGCGGCTTAACCCAGAGAGGAGCACTTGGAGGGGTCCAGGGACATGGGGCTCATACTCATTTGGGGGGGGGGGGCTTCTATACCACTGTCCTCCACATCCCTCACCCGGGGTCCCGCCTTTACCCAGCATGCCCTTCTTCATGCCATCCTCGGTCACCCATCTTCCCTCCTCTGAGCCAGAACCTTCTGTGCCCAGTTAAATATCTATATATCTATCCTTGGAGATGCCTCAGCAGTGGTGAGGAAGCCGGTGCTGAGGCACTAAGCAAGTCAGTCTTGAGTTAGACAGCATCATTAGCCTAACGCTAACTCTCTGTAGCTCCCATTCGGGTTTCTCCTGGTGCTAAGCCAGCTCACGCACTGCCTCTGAAACTGTAATCAGGAGGCTTAGGCTCCTGAGGGCCCTGCACTGTGGCTCACTCACTGCTGCATCCATACAGACATACAGAGGGATGCGAGGCCAGGAGCTGATGGAGATGCTGGTGGATGGGCTCCACCGGAGTGATGATTTCCGTCCCAATCCCTACGTCTCTCTGAACGATCACTGTCTTATTCTCCCTCTCTCTCTCTCTCTCTCTCTCCCCTTCCACCCCATGGCTCGCACAAGCCTCCAATTAAATCAAAAGCGGTTTGTTTTTATTGGTCTTTTGCGCTGACAAGTGGGCTATCATCCTGACGGCTCTACCTGACAGTGAGCTGCTGAAAATCCTCCATTGACAATGCCCAACGCTTCCAATTAGGGGAGAATCAGACTCCTGGTGTGCTAACGATCTTTCCTCCTCCCTCAAGTGCCCCCCTCCAATGTCTCTCTCTCTCTCTCTCTCTCTCTCTCACACACACACACACACACACACACGCACTGCACGCTGCTGTCTTCCCCTCACATTTTTTCCTGCTCCATTTTCCCCCATCTCTCCTTTTTTCCTGTATGTCTCTCCTCTGCAAATTACCAACACAAAACGGGATGGCACAGCGCCGTCAAGGCCTGCCGTCCAAGCCTGTCAACTTTAATGAGATGATGAAGGTTTATTTTGGCTGCATGCATGTGCTAAATTCTTTCTTGTATGACAGCTGACTGTGAAAGGCGAATGTTAACCTTATAAAAGATTTAGCAATTCTCATTATTTTCTGTCAAGTACCATATCTGATGGCTGTAGGTTAGACATTTGCATCCCTGACTTCTCCGGAGTGGGTCTCTTTCATTTCTCTCATCATTGTTTGTTTGTGTAGTCATTTTTTATCTCCCTGTTTTTTTCCCCTTTGTTGAAACGTATGTTTTTCTTCTCTATTTCAAAAAGATATTGAGATGCCAAAATTCTTCCAAAGACAACGTGCTTATTACAAAAGAAAATATATATTTAACAAACTACTTAATAAATAAATAAAAAGCCAAGAATCTATTGTGCCTTTTCTTTCAGTTTTCTGGGGTGGTGTGAACCATTCTAAGCGGTTCCTTGCTCTTTGAATCCTCCTAAGAGCACTTTGCTACGTGTTAAATGTTAGGGGGAAATGAACAGCCAAGCTCACGTACAGGAGTGAGTGGCTGACAGAGATTTCTGTGGGCTAAAACTTTTATATATATTTATAAGTTAGTTTTGTGACAAAACACATTTTATGATTTTGTGTCAAGATAGATTCCCAGACATCGTATCAAATCAAAATGCCTGAAGGAGAATAAAAACTTGAGTGAGAATGAATTGGTGGCACACATGAATCTTGGCAGCTCTACCTTTGACAGTATTCACTCAGAAATCCCTTAGTCCTGTCTGCACACACAAGCGTTTGGACCTGTCCTTCTCTGACAACACGTGACTGACATGTGCCAAGTAATCCTGGGCTTTTTATTTTGTTAATCTCCCCCCTTTTTAATGTACAAGGATGCATTCTGCTTTTTCTGCTGCTCACGACTGTTGCCTTCATGCTATTTATAGGTGTGTGTGAATGCCTAACGGTGTACGGTGTTTGCTGTCGCCGCGGCAGTGTTAATGAGGCTCGGGGATGTGTTGGATCTGTATGGTTAAGGAGCTCACTTCCTCCAGGCCCTAGGGCCCACCTGAGAGCTGACACGCGCCTGCAGGACCATCTCCCCTGCATCTGTAGCCTGTGCAGAAGGAGCTCATGTGTCTATCAGACTGATGCTGAATGCTCTTTATGGGAACATGCCGGCCCACTTAAAAAATATGTCAAAACAGAATCAAGTCCGGTTTCCCAAACTAGCTGCCTGTTCCAAAAGTGTTACCTTCAGGCCTGGGAAGGGAGACGGCAGCTGGCCGTGCACTGGGCCAAGCATTAACAGGATGCCTTACTCATAATATACCATGCCTAATGATTCATCAGGCCAGTTAGATGTGCTTTTGTCATCTTCCTGTGATAAGTGGATGCTTTCTAGCAGGTTCACCTGAAACACTTTTGCTGTCTTCCTTCTTCACTGCAGGTGGGACCTGCCTTAGACACCTTCCGTGATCCCGAAGCTCGGAAGACGGCCTTTCATGCCCATCTCTCAGACTCGGTGGCGCGACGAGGTCTCCTGGGCCAGGGCACCTACAAAGTGAACTAGACCAGGCTAGGCAAAGACTGCGGGGGGAGGAAAAGATGGGGGAGAGTGAGAATGTGGGGGAGGGGGAGAGGAATAAAAATCTACACATATACATTCACCTTGTTTTTTTGCCATATTATTCTACTGGTACCTGTAGGTGTAATGAAACTTTGACAAAACCCGTAACCATAAATTTAAGCTGATTTATCCATTGCTGTATTTGCTGGTAGGTTTTATGTGGAAACAGTGCATCATAAGCAATCACAAGTTCCACACATGTCGAGTACAACGTTGTAAGCCTGATTATATGCAAATCAGCACTTACCAAGACACAGAAATAAACAACTAAGCAGGCCAGCTTCCAATTGGGAAAGTTTAACAACGGTGACATTTACGTACAGTAACATCTACGGATTGTTGGTACCGGAGTTTCCGCAAGAGCAGCGGAGCGGTTTGCGGCAGGGCTGTGCTGCGGCGACTCAGAGCACAGCCTGGCGCTGCAGTGTGTGTGGCACGTTCTGCCCCCGACCCGCGTGGCACCCCCCCAGTGGCAGCTCGCAATCAGACCCGGTCCCCGTGGGAGCAGGGATCAAGGTGCACATCTCCAGTCTTGCCTTCAGTTGTTAGGGCTTGTCGAAAATTCACATGTTGCGAATCGTGTAAATGATACGTGAAACAGGAGACCGCTTACTACACAGTAAAGTTTTCTCTCACTATTTTGTGACATTGCCTGCCTTTCCTCTCTGTTCAGTCATAACATAGACATCATAGTATTATACTATCTTAATACTATGTAAATCGGAATAATCTGGTAAAATGAAGATGAATGATACTGGTTTGTGTTTATATATACTTCTATGTTTACTTGTAAGATTTTTATTCATTAACATCCGATATTCATTCCTTTTATCAGTCAGTTTTTTTTTCACCCAGATAAACTGCATGTAAATGTATGCAAGTACAGTGAACAACACGCCTGAATAATCACAATTTGAAAAGGGAAGTGCAGATCACCAATACTTACCAGATAACTTAAAATACTGTAATTAAATTCAAAATACTGTAATTAGCACAAACAGTAGTGCTATTGACTGTAAACATTTGGGTCTGGGCCTGCTAATTAATGCCCGTGTCTTTTTTCAAACTAAAGGGGAGGAGGGAGTCTCGTGACAGGCGCTGGAGTTCCCGCCTCCTTGTGTACGAGTCATCGCCCAAAAAGCCCAGTCAGCCAATGAAATCGTATGGCTGGGGACGCACGTGGAACAGACACCTTTAAAAACTAGTTCCAGGATATGACACAAGTTTATTTTAGTGAAAGTGTCACTGGGAAGCTTTAGTTACCAGATGATTGCATTTAACCTGACTTACCTCTGACTCTCTGGATTCTTCTCTCAACTGTCCAGCGGTTTTTTTTATGCTGCCTTCTTGGCTGACACGTGAAAGATTTTTTTAAACAACCCTTTCTCTTTGTTCGCGGTACTGTAGCAAATTACGTTTAATCTCATTAATTTTTAAAAAAAAAAATTGGCTTCTTTCTCTGTCAGGCGCAGGTCATGAATTTCATTGGCTTTGATCAACGTGTCTGTCCGTGGTGCTGAAAATTACTTGGCCTCCTGATTGGAGCTATGCTATGTAATTTTGATAAGATGGGAATTATGATTGTTACTTATATTTAAAACAACACTATAAATACGATTTAAGTACATGTATAAAAGGATAAAGGATAAAATTTCGGTTCCATATAGTTGGATTCTAAAAATCAATAGCACCGGACCTTTGAAATACTTTTGTGTAGCACAACACTTTAGACAGGAGATTTAACGTAGATTTTTTTGCGCTCTCGACGAACGTGCAGATCTCGAAAAATATCTGAAAACTGAAAACCGTACCAAAAGAGAAGAACTACTGGAAGAAAGAGGAGGAATATTCTGTATCCGGGCATCTTGTTTGGATTTTCCGCCTGGATAGTCGTTCCAGCTCTGAAACCGCACTTCAAGTAAAAGTTGGCAGAATACAAATGGTAAATTAAAATAAAACAGACGCCACTGTATTGTACTTAATGGCAATGGAGGCGTCCAGCAACGGGTCTAGTTTTGGAATTGACTCTTTACTGTCTCATAGACCTGGAAGTCCGATAAATTCGAAAGGAGACAGTTTGATGGGCGAATGCAGATCTCCTCTGGAGTTAAGCCCGAGGTCGGACCTGGAAAGCGGCTGCTCGTCTCCCCCTTCTCCACGGCGGGATTGCGTCGAAGATGCGGTGCAGAGACAAGGTCATGCTCTCGGACTGGAGTCCCATCTACAGCACGGGCAGATTTCCGCCGGTTCTCAGCCTCGGACAGTCACTTCGTCCTTCCTCATTCGAGACATTCTTGCGGACTGCAAACCGCTCGCTGCCTGTGCCCCATACTCAAGTAATGGACAGCCAACTCAGGAGACTGAGAGACTTGCCTCTAAAATGTCAGACGATTTTATAGACAAAATCCACAGCAATTCATCTTCGGACAGCGAATATAAGGGTAAGATTTATGTGAGAATTTTACAGAAGGTGTATTTTCTATCAAATCGAGTAAGAATAAAATATTTTGTTATGACTACGAATTATAATAGCACGTAGTACTTAGTAGTAATGACAATATTATTATTATTATTGATAATGATAATAATAATAATAATAATTCAAGCGATGATAATTATAATAATAATATAATAAATGTTAACGTTACCTTGACACTTGGCATGATCAATAAAAGTATATAATTAAATATTCTATGTTAAATTTACAGTAGACCGGTATGTGCTGCGAGTTTTTGTAAAAATAATTTGCAAGCGCAGTTATTATTACATATTCATACATATAAATATACTAATATATGTGTTTTAATAAAAAAGAAGGCATATAGCTACACAAACTGTTACTTTTTATTGCGTTTTTATCCTCTGTGATAGCAAGTATAGTGTTTTAAGGTAAATCGCGCTTTATATTCTCCAACGGAGATCCCCGTAATTGTAGTTAATAATAGTTAATCAGAAAAGTTCATTCGAGACGTCGAAATTTCGTAGCCTACGATAATAAGTGAAACAACCGAAATTAGCAGTACTCGTTAATTTGGAAAGCTTTGCTTGTTTCTTTTATAAAAAATTTGAAATTTAGACTGAAACGGTTTACGAAAACTTGAGAACTGCGCTGTTTGATCGATATGTTTTTTAATGAAAATGTGTTATCAGTGAACATATAATTGGACGGTTATTGATTCAATTAATATAATCCACTGATAAACACCAAAACCTAGTACAGAATAAATATCAATTAATCCTAATATGTAGAACATAACCACCAGATGATAACATATTTCCCACTCATTTAAATTAGTATTTCTAAACTGATGTCAAAATCTTTTAAAAAATGCAATGCACTTAAACTGTAAGATTATTATATTTTGTCAGATTTTTTAGACCCGGTCTAAATATAGTTAAAATATTTAAGATGTCAAACTCTATATTATGTGCAATATTTACAGTAATTTAGTTTTCTCCTTATATTCGTAAGTTGCGTATTTGTGACGTGGAGTTATCAGTCAGGTGTTTATTACGGTTTTATACCAATAATGTGAAGTTTGGCCAGTCATGCTCAAAAGGTTTTTCATCTCGCGTGGCCCAATTAGACGGTTTATTATGCTTCATGACTGTCCAATCAAGTTGTTACCCATGCAAGTCTTCTAAATGCCCCATTTACGTCAAACTTACAAAAGAAATCATGGATTTTAGCAGAGTGATTTAAAATAAAAACATTATTTCTTATAATACCATTATTTTCGCTGGCTTTGCTGCGAAAGTAGTCGTTTTAATTTGCGTACGGTATAGGCCTACCTGTGTGTTTCACGATAAAATCTGTACGTATGACACAGATATAGGTAATTTATTAAGTACTTAATATATTTTTTGATCATACAACACAGAGATTTCGCCAACATACAAAATAAAATATATACATGCATTTTCATAAATACATTTTATAATCATATAAATTTAAGTTGAAACAATATGGACACAACTCGAAAACAATCGCTACTTTAGTTCAATATATAAATATAGCCTTGGAGTTGCGGCCTTTTTCTTTGTTTCTCTCATTCAGCGTCGGTTGTGGTTGTGTTTTTTAATTTGTAGTGTTTGCCAACGGTTCAGTGTTTTTTTGGGTTTCAGTGAAAGAGGAGGGAGACAGGGAGATTTCGAGCAGTAGGGACAGCCCGCCAGTTCGGCTCAAGAAGCCCCGAAAGGCGCGGACGGCGTTCACGGACCATCAACTAGCCCAGCTGGAGCGCAGCTTTGAACGACAGAAGTACCTGAGTGTGCAAGACAGGATGGAACTGGCGGCGTCGCTGAGCCTTACCGACACCCAGGTCAAAACATGGTACCAGAACAGGAGGTGAGATCAAGAATATAAACACACAAAGCTCTGTGTTCGCTTACATTTCGACTTTCAGTAAAAAACAGATGGTTCAGTATCTAGCTATTTGAATCTGCCTTCAAGTTTTTAAATAGGCCTGTAGAATCTTGTTAATCATTTAACGTACGTAATCTAAAATCCATGGACTTACTAAAAACTTTTTCAAGAACACAAGGATTGTTGGGTGGTAAATATATACAATACATTTCCCTAGAGTACAGGTACGTGTATTAATGTATACCCAGACACACAGACACAAACTTATCGAATACGAATAGAAGCTGTTTTTTTTTTTTTTTTTTGTAAATTAATGTATATTTTCTAAAACATGCAGTTCACATTATTATGTAGAGTACTCTTTTTTTAATTTAACACATCGATATGCCTCCTTCTGATACATTTTGATTAGTATAATATTTTTAGCTATTTATGTATAACAAATATGAAGAGCGTCGCCTGTCCCGATTCATTCTTTATCTATACGGTCACGGAGCATTAAAAGTCAAAAATGCATTTCCTGCACGTACCAAAATAGAAACTGCAAAAGCCTGCATCTGTGTTTACGTTGCCCTCACTGTGAAGGTTTTATATGCAAATTTCAGTTCTGCAACCGACCTTTAGGGTTTTTACTTTCCATTCGTTTCTTAAACAAATTATATCGCATACGAATTCGTTTTTCATGATTCCACTATAATATTTTAACGTTGATATTTTAAAAGGAACGCTATTCAAATAAGCAACAAATACAGCGCAACACATTTGGTGATAAATTATAAATTAAGAGAGATGTAAATAATTTACCCACAATACTGTAAGAACACAATTATTATCATTATTAATTATTTATCCATAAGAATGGTTTCCTATTGTCCAGGAAACTCTGGTTGGTAACTAAAAATGAATAACGAATGAGGGCCGCTTTAAAACAGTTCAACGACGCTTTATCTAAAGTAAAGGAAATTAAACACTTAAAACGCTTTATCTAAAGTAAAGGAAATTAAACACTTAAAACCTTTCATAGGTTGTCAGCGCGGAATCGAATTACTACAAGTGTAGCAATTCCGCTTTAAACTCAGCTCCAAGTTTACATTTTATATATTTATAACTTTGTATGTGATTATGTGATCTAAACAAATGTGCACAAAGTAAACGATCACTTTTACTCTGAGATGAAGAACGTCCCCAAACGACGCGTTAGAAGCATTAAAAAGGAATGCTATTAGTTGCTATTGAAATGCTTCACGTAAGTTAGTTTAGAGCGATAATTTTCACAAGGCTAATAAACAGAAATTATTTGTATCCCGAACTCCCGAACGTAATAATAAGGTACAAAACTTATATACATATATATAGTGAAACTTAAACTTTGATGAATTAGTGGCCATACACGAAGATTTTCTGACGGAAACTACTAGCATTTTGAACTCGTCGGCATTCGTTTTTACTATGAAATACTACTGATTGTGCTATTCTTCTTCCTGGGAAAGGACAAAGTGGAAGAGGCAGACCGCAGTTGGACTGGAACTTCTTGCCGAAGCCGGAAATTACTCTGCCTTGCAAAGAATGTTTCCTTCACCGTATTTCTATCCACAAAACCTGGTTTCCAATCTGGACCCTGGAGCAGCCTTGTATCTGTACAGGGGACCCTCCGCGCCACCACCGCCATTGCAACGACCCCTGGTCCCACGGATCCTTCTCCACGGATTGCAAGGAGGAAACGAGCCGCCGCCTATGTCATCTCTGTCCGGCGTGCTACCTCGGGCGACGCAGCAACGGTGAGCCGCACCTCCAGATTCAGAGCCAGACAACGCCAACCTCCACACGAGCGAAACGGAGCATTTTAATGAGAGTGACCAGTAAATACTGTTTTATTTAAAATGAACTGGGATCTTCAGTATATGAACTCTTGTTTGATTCTAACACGAATAAAAGGCCACTGTTATTTATTTATTTATTTATATATTTATATATCGAACAGTTTTCCTCGCTAGAGGAACTGTCAGAATGAACTAGAGATGTTTCACATGATTTCTTTATGTCTCTCCGGGAGAATTGCAGAAGAGCTATTCGATTTCCTGTATGGTTTCTCAAGATATTACTTCCAGGAAACGAAGTTTATTACGTGACAGCAGCACTTGTCAAATTCGAATCATGCATCAGACCCTGTTTATATGTGGAACGTACGGAAAGTGAACATGACTTATGGAAAAAATAAAAAAAAGTTTTTTTTTTCGTATGAAAAGCCATTAATTCTGCCCAAGAATGGATTCATATGATGAAACTTGTATGGACTGTTTATGTACAGTAAACACATAATGCACTGTAAATAAAGTATTCATCTATTCAAAGAAACGTCATGATTTTAAGTAGCATTTTGAGTAATGCATTTTCTTTCATTCAGACCATTGACTGAAAGTGACACGCAATGGCCATGACTAATCGTATAGACACGGTAATTTCATTGGACTGTTTTCAAACTGTATTCTACCTACATAATAAACTTGCAATGGTGTCAGCAATGTCATTGTCTATAGTGCCCTCATTTTGCTCCTGCTTCGTCAATTGCAAAAATTGCGAGAAGCAAAAGATGTACAATACAATTTGGCTGCAGCACTGCGCATATAGTAATTAATTGTTGCATACATAATGATACATTTCGTTGCTAAACGACAGTAATATTCGAGGATTAAATATTTATTTTTACATTTCCCTCAATTCAGTTTAATGTTCTTTTAAGGTGTAAGAGATACGTCTTTATATTTGACCATGCGTGCAAGAACAAAGTTATACTTCTCAGAAGCACGGTAGGCGACTATAATTTATTGTTCAGGAATTTAGAAATAATATTGGTAGCACGATTTCCTCTCACGGTGTAGTGATTTGAAATGAACTTCGCATTGGTATCAGAAATAATTAGTGCGATTAGATACCAACAGATTGTTGGCATATTAAAATACACGAAATAAGAATGGCGTCTGTCCTTTCGCTTTTCTGGGACCAGAGCCAATAGAAGCACCTGGTGTATTCTTCTCGAGATTGCGCAGATACTTCTTGTCATACAAACACTACAGGACAACACTGTAACTCCTTATGGTAGAAAATGTATAGCAGAACTACTTGTGAGATTCCTCATATTGTGAAGTAGTTCTTATTTGATATTGCCCCCTCCCCTTGCCCCTTGATGGTTCCTCAGTTTTAAGATAAGGCCAAAAATATTAGGAAACGTAGGAATAGTTGTTTTTTTTTTTTTATCATGTACAAATAAAGTTCTTACACAAACCAAAAGCACTGTTTCAGACATGTATGCTGGAAAAAATATTTCCCATGTGTTCAAGAAAACTGTTACGCACTGTCTGATTAAACCAGCAGTGACAAGTTCCGTAATTCCGACTCAAACGATCTGGGTTTTGTTTTCAGACGTTGAAAATGTTTTTAAGTAGATAGGCTGTGGCATCGGCGCGCATTTCAGAATTTGTTTCTGGATACGCTACTTGTTTCTTGGGTAAAAGCTAAGCATGATGCAGCACTCAGCAGTAGGCATAGGTCATGAGGATTTTCATCGTGCCAGAACTTAGGCGAACTGAATTACACCGCTAACTAGATGGGTTTTGCGTTTCCCGGAAATCGCAGAAAATTGTTAATAACACATTAGAAAAAAAACTTTTCTATATGTGTCTAAAAAGATTTTTGGTATTTTAAAAACTATTTTATACTGTATACTATAGGTATGCGTCGACTAAATATTCTAGCTACTAATTTTCTTGAGTTAGGTTAAACATATTAAATAATCATTAGCATTAAATCTGTAATTTTTTAACTGGATCCCCTTAATCAATCTATACAATTTGACAACAGTGTTGCTAGAAGTCCAAACGTCGAAATGGTTCTTTTCAAGTAGAATTCTCGTATTTGGCTCTCGGATAAAATATCTTTCTTCATGACTAAATAATTTTATACATTATTTTCTACATTTATAGAGTGACATATAACAAAAATAAATGAAAAAAAAATCAACGCACGTTAAAACAAATTTAATTTTACTGTTATTTCACGCTACACTGTATAAAACAAAATTTAGAAAAAAAAGATTTCATGATAAAATTTAACAACTGACACTAATTGTTCATATATGTATTGTTTTATATATATCTGTGTGTCTCGACAAAATATGTCCAGGTCATTGGTTTAATTAAGTAGTAGCAGCGGCACAAAACACTGGCTGACAACCGCATTAAAGGGAAACAAAAGATGCACTCGAGTGAATTGTTTTAAAACTGAATATAGCGTGATTATTCCGTTTTATTACATTTTCATAAACATTAACTCGATGAAATATTAATAGCTCCCCAAGTGTGTAATTGTTTAAGTGTCTTAAACGATCCTATTTGGAAATGGATTGTTTCCACCTTTTTTTCTTTAGAGTGTTGGTTGTCTGGCCTTCGCCAAACGGCTCCAACAGCTGGTGACCGGGCGAGACTGACTGTGCGTCGGATCAGGCAAGCGGACAGCTGGTCAGCGGTACGGCAGGACAACCCCCACGCCTCCTCCCCGTGCGCCTGTAGCCTGTTATAAAAGCCCAAATATCAGTCCCTTTCCTACCTGGGGGTTGGGGAGTTCAAGCTGACAAAGCTGAATAAAAGGTTTGCGAGCGATTAAACAAAAGACATTAATGGCTTTAATCGGAAGTCGATACATCGATATGATCGCTCAGTCCCCCGCTGCTGCATCCGCATCGCACATGTTACGGCGCGCGCCTCGCCTCCCCCTGATCGCGGGCTCTGCCTCGCGCTGTCGGCTCGCGCTATTACAGACCGCTTCATTCAGATTTCAGCAATTGCCACTTTCTCGAGTGCACGGTCTGCTGTGCGCCCTTTAAACGTCTATAAACGGAGCCCGCTTTTAGTTGGAGTCACAAATGTATAAAATACTGCCGAGTGAAAATAGATTACGCGTATCTAGTTTTCTATTCCTGCCGACCAGAAAATGATACAACCAAATAGTATCAAAAGGATTTGTGTCCGGCCCGAATGACGAAGATAGCCTCTCAATATTAATGAAAAGATTCATTCGTGCGAAGTGCGCAACTGATTAACTGAATAGCTACGTTGTCTTGTTGAAAGGCGCACAGATTTTTGCATGTGAAAAGATACTGGTAAACCCCAAGATCATACCGCGGATTGTCCCCGGCTCAGGCTTAATGAAGTGCGGATAGAGCCTTGCTGAGCTCCCAGCAAACAAAAACACAACACGAAGAGACTTAAACCCAGAGGATCAGTGACTCTGATTAATCTCATTCAGAATAAAACCAAACAAAACAGCCTTCAAATCAAATTAGGAGTCAATCAAAGGCCAATTTGCACTGCGGACTGTGAACCTGTCAGTAGAAGAAATGCTGATGTTCTTTCACAGCGCGCCGAAAAGAGAAGCAACGTGATTTGATCTTGCGGTATATTACAAATTACCGAATTCAACTTTTTTCCGCTAAATATGCGGCAAACAAAAGCCTGCTTAATATAAACATCTCCAAAGGCCACCACTAGCGAAACAGTACAGACTTTCTGCTTTCACAGATAATCGTTTGATGTGATATTGGATCACAACTGAAAAAGAATAAACTAAACGCTGATGTTCTATTTACTAGTCAAGAATTATAAAGGCAACCTAGAGAACATATTACTGCCGACACAACTGCTTGCATTGTGTATTTAGTAAGGAGAAGGTGAAATAGATTATTAAGGTCTTAAGTTAACTCAGGGTAACCCTAGGAAAAAATGCAGACATTTGCGCGCTATTCCGGCAGTATTAGGTCCACTGCTCGATAATTAGACACTAATCGTTTTTAAAATGTTAGCGCTCTTCCAACCCCAGGAAACCTATTACGCGGCACATACATCTCCGTTAACAGGCGCAATGAGGGCTCTGAAGAAATGCCATTCCCTGCCACTAGGATTTAGGTGCTAAAGCAAGACACATTTGGCAGTGCACTCCATCTAGAGTTTGGCCTCTGGATTTAGGAGCGCAAACCCTAATCTGGTGCTGTAACCATCAAACTGTCAAGTCGACGCCGCAAAGCAGTTCATGTTTACTCTCCATGTAGATGATCACGGTAAAGATAAGATGACATACTATCTATGCTGCCCAAGTAAACAAATGGACATTTTAGGGGATGCTGTAGTCGCGGTCATGATAGTAGGCAAAGGCAGATAACCATTACCGTCACGAACAATCTACCATGCTACCGTTTAAATATTAACGTCTCACTATAAGTTCCGGGGAACAGCACCAGATAAGGCAGAATCCAATATTCCCTTACAGCTCGAGTTTTTT